AAATTTACTCCTTATTAAGATATGAATCTGTTCTATTATACTTGCAACAGCTCAACATTACAATTACATTCAATGCAAAAGTTCAATATTGTTTTGGTATTGAAGAAGTAATGACCGATTACTTAACTTCTTCAACTCAAGAAAATACAAGAAACTTTTACAATGCTCAACAAAATTTATTTTCCAAAATGTAACAGTTTTGGATCCAACAGATATATTTATGGTATCACAAACTCTATGAAATGTCTCATCCTTTGAATGATAAACTATTGATTTATATGAAGGAATTCGAATGATCAACTCATTGTGAACATTAGAATTGGTGTGAATACTGGACCAGTCATTGCTGGTGTGATTGAAAGGAAAATGTGTCATGCAATCTTATCTATTGAGTGCAATACATCACGTTTCAACAAAGATTGATTTAGTGGAAGTATTGCAGGTAAATAATGATGAGGATGATCATTTTTGAAAACGCTGAAGAAATTGAAAAGTTGAATTTACATGAACCAAGAGGTTCTTGTTAATTTTTGAAAATAGTAAGAAGGAGGAAGAATAACCATATTTGGGCTTTGAAAAAGTTTTTTTAGCAACTTAATTCAATATGCCTTCATTCTCAGAAAATTTCAAAATATGCCAGGTTTTGAGATATGTTGGTTCATTGTATTTAACGAAAATGAGTTTCTTTTAGCAATTGCTTGTTGATGCCTTGTGATTCTATACAAACGCACACAATTTCCTAATCCTTAAAATTTTTATCTCAAAACCTGGCATTAAGATGAAGCATTGAGGGTCACACAAAAATATGTGTTTTGGGCGATAGAAATAAATTGAAGGGCATTGATGTTTCATTGTAATACAACATAAGAATCCATCACTACATTTCATTGGTAATCTACAGTTTTTTAACATCATTTCATCTAATTTCTCTTCAATACTATTTTATGTCATCAACAGTATTATTAGAATACACAGTTTCTGTCGAGTTATTGGGCGCGGTATTTTAAAATTTATTCCCGCTGTACCGAACTTGTTTTTTGAACAATAACATAGTAGGGAAACAATTGTGGTTACGCTTCCAAATGCTGCTTAGAAAGAATTATTACAGCGATAATGAAGGATTATTCAACCCTAATAAGACCGGAGACTATTGAATCATTGGGTGTGTCCTCAACATGCTCCTCCAATAATTAGAACTATTTTGAAAAAAGTACTCGATTCCATTGTTGCTTAATCTCAACCAACAGTTGTGTGCAACATTTAGAGCAATTTCTATTATCATTAATCAAATATTTACAACTGTTCTCCAGAAGAAAATGGTTGTTGGTTTAAATTATACAGAATTCAACAATAATCGTCAACACTTGTTGGAATCATCAACAACAACAACAACAACAACAACAATAGATTTACACTATCATAAAGATAGAGTATCAACTCCAAGTGGTGGTTCATCATCAGATAGGGAATTATTAGATTCCTTTTCAAATAGAAGTTCAGTTGGTTTGTTGGATCCCTTACATTTAGATGATCATCCTTATTATTATCAACAACAATCTCCTCATCAATCAAGTAATATTCTTAAATCACCATCATCAGCTGGTCAACCTCATCAAGATGATAAGAATAATAATATAATAATATTACAATCACCTAATAGTAATATGCCAACATCAGCAACCTCATCATTACCAGGATCAAATTGTAATAATTCATTTAAATTATCGGAACAACATGATAATAATAATACCATAGAAGAGGAAGATGAAGGTGAATCACATATGTACAT